ACCTGCACTACCGCAACAAGTGCCGGACATTGTTCGCAACCCATTTCCATGCTTTAGCGGACATGACCGATGACTTTGAGGCACTGGGGCGATACTGTACCGATGTGAAAGAGACCGGGTCGGGGTCGTTCTCATTTGTCCATCGACTGCGCAAGGGAGTGAACCGTGATTCCCATGCGCTAAAAGTCGCGCAGCTCGCAGGCTTGCCGAAGGAGACCCTAGAGATGGCCAGTCGAGTGCGACAGTCGTTGGGTAACTGCACTCCATGGTCGTCGGGCGGCAGCGATAGCCATACTATCGCGTCAGCAACCGCATAGTGCTCGTTACTCCTGACCCTCTATGTACATGTACCATATCTTCTAGTGTGTTGCACTTTTGCTCGAGATACCAATCCAGTCATGCTTAACGTACATTCATAATACATTCATAAATGAGTTCCACGATGGACAAAGGCCTCCATTCCAGACGTAGGCAAGAATACCACTGCATGCGTTTTAGAGCTTGGAAGCACCCAACATCCGACTCTTCCCCAAATCAATCATAATCCCTTCTCCAAACGCAGCCTCTTGCACGTCCTCATCATCCACCCCATTGACAAACTGCACAACCACGAAATCCACCCGCCTGGAACCCAGCACCACCATCGGCGCATGCCACGTCCCAACCCCATACGTCACCGCTTGCCCACCACGCGCTACAAATGCCCGCACATTGTTCAAGTCAGGGGGATCCCTGATCGTGACTGTGTCCCCCGAAGGCGTAGTCGCCGTTGCCGTCTGGCCCTTCAACGTCGGCGCCACGATAACCAGGTAGAATGGTTCCTCGGCATCGCCCGCGCGGGTCTGGCTGGATAGGTCGATAGGTGTGAACGTCTGCGTGGTGAAGGGGTGTCGCTCCAGGATGCGGACGTCGAAGACGCTAGTCTCCCCTCCTGTCGCTTTGGCGGTGCGCAGTTTGCGCGGGAAGCACGAGAACATGCTCATGCGGGCGGAGGAGGGCTGTCCGCTGGGACATTGCGGGTAGTGGTCGAGCAGTGGGGAGATGGGGCTGTACTTGAGGGCGGAGGATTGGTTTGCGACGACTGGAGCGGGATCGTGAGGAGGGAGAGAGGAGAGAGAAGGCGCGGAGGAGAGATCGCGTGGTAGAGGACAGCTGATGGCGGTGCCGAAGGGGGCGAAGGCCTCTTTGGTGAAGGGTTCGGGGGTGATGCGGAGTGTTGGGCTGGAGGTGAGGATGGGCGCCATGGTGTTTTGGGTTCGGAGGTTGGTTGAGGCTTTGGGGATTTGTAGTGTATAGATCTCCTTTGAACTCAATTGCAAGGACCAGCCTCGCAGAAGCTGAGAGTAATGCCGGGTTAATAACTTAGGTGAGCAGTCGACGATAACTCCATCAAGTGTCGGCACTCGCCGTAGATGGCAGCCGCTAAAAGCAGCTTCGGGAGAGGCCGATTATCATCAACACTTCACCTTCGACTCCATTTAGAGGCGCATTTCGCAGCCCAAAATGAGATTTCAATATGTATTCTATGCTAATCACTGACACAATTCATTCTTCTGCTTCAAAAGGGGATTTGATTTGTCGATCGCCAGCGTCAGTGGTGCATACTCCTCCTCTAACCAGTTGGCAGACTGTCTCGGGTCATCCATCAACATACCCATACAATAGAGGGCTCACCACTCCAGCTCAATCTCACGGACTAGACTAGCACTGGTCTATATCAAAAATGCAGCAGAACGATTGACAGGTCCGGAGCAAGACGCCTCTAAATGTGGATTCTCCTGTTCTTCCCCGCATTCCCGCAACTCCGCAAAAACCGCCTGGTATCAGCCATTAACCGAGGCCAGTTTGTCATTGATAGGGACAGTAAGCGGACACCAATCAGCTAAGATACGCCTTTTCTTGTTTATAAATATACTGCGGATCACTGCTAGAAGCTCTTCAAGTAATTGTCTCGAATTCAAGCAACTTCACCATTGTACTTTCAAGCAAAATGGCCTCAACGTCCGACCTGCCGAGGAAGCTCTGGGAGCATTCTAACCCGAAGTCTACTCAGATGTGGGCTTTCAAATCGGAGTTAGAGAAAGAGAAGGGCCTTCAGCTTCCAGTACGTACCTTTGACTGGTATATTGCTCTTCTTTGTCGCCTAACGCAATTTCTAAGGACTACCACTCTCTCTATCGGTGGTCAACGGACAATCGTGCATCCTTTTGGGACTTTTGCTGGAGATTCTTTCCCATCATCTCTGAAGGCACTTATAGGACCGTCGTAGATGAATCAGCCCGCATTGACAGCATCCCCACTTGGTTTGAGGGTGTGCGACTCAACTTTGCCGAGAATATGCTATTTTCGGCGGAGAGATCAAGCTCGGGGCATCTACAGATTACAACGAAAGGCAAGGAGGACAATAAAGTTGCTCTGACAGAAATTAGGGAGGGAGGGTCGGAACCGTCTTCCAACGTTACATGGGCCGAGTTGAGACGCAAGACAGGGGGAATGGTCCAGGCACTCAAAGCAGCCGGCGTTGTCAAGGGAGATCGAGTCGCCGCTGTAGCAAGTAACAGCGTCGATACACTTGTCGTTTTCCTGGCGACGACGGCTCTCGGAGCGTGGTTCTCGTCAACGTCCACTGACACGGGCGTCAAAGGAATCCTCGATCGTCTGCTCCAGTTGAAGCCAAAGTACGTCTTTGTTGACGATTTCGCAATCTACAATGGGAAGCGGATCGATCTACGACCAAAAATCAACGACATTGTCGATGGTCTCCGGGAAGTTCCCGAATTTGAAGGCATCATCGCGATCCCACGGTTCCCAGGCCAGCCAGTCGATGTGACCCACGTGCCCAAAACCCAACCCGTTGCAGCTTTTCTTGCAAAGGCTCCGTCAGACAAGCTCGAGTTTGTCAGGGTTGGGTTTCGGGATCCATTCCTGGTTGTGTACTCATCTGGAACAACTGGCAAACCCAAGCCCATCGTTCACGGAGTAGGCGGTGTCATACTCAACACCTACAAGGAGGCTCGGCTACACCGTGATCATGGACCAGATTCGACGGTTTTGCAATACACCACCACCGGGTGGATCATGTACCTGTCTGCCGTATCAGGGCTAATGTTCGGCGGCAAAGCCATCTTGTACGATGGAAGTCCCTTCCTACCGGACGCCAAATTCCTCATCGAGCTATTGGGCAAGCATAAAGTGACTCATTTCGGTACATCACCGCGCTATCTCCATGAGCTCCGGAAGAATAGCATACGGCCAAGAGACATTGCAGATCTCAGGGCACTCCGCATCGTCACGAGCACCGGCATGGTCCTTTCGGAATCCTTGTTTGAATGGTTCTACGACGAGGGTTTCCCACCCCATACCCAGTTGGCGAATATCTCCGGTGGCACCGATCTCGCTGCCTGCTTTGGCTTGGAGAACCCGCTTACTCCTCTATATGTGGGCGGGTGCCAAGGTCCAGCTCTAGGTATTCCTATCGCAGTATTCGATCAAGCGGATGAGGGTGCTACCGCCGTCAAAGGCACGACCGTTCCGGATGGTGTGCCAGGAGAGTTGGTAGCCACCGCAGCATTTCCAACTATGCCGGTCAAATTCTTGGGCGATGACGGGACACAGAAGTACTTTGACTCCTACTTTGCTCGGTTTGACAGTAAGTCTCGTTCTTATATCCAGCCTCTCAATCGCATCTACTAACCTGTGATGCGTAGATGTGTGGACCCACGGCGACTTCATCTGCATCCACCCTATCACAAAGCAAATTCTCTTCCTGGGCAGATCAGACGGCGTCCTCAACCCCTCAGGCGTCCGCTTCGGATCCGCCGAGATCTACAACGTAATCGACACTCAATTTTCAACCGAGATCGCGGATTCGATCTGCGTCGGCCAGCGACGGCCTACCGACGCCGACGAATCTGTCATGCTCTTCCTGTTAATGCGGCCGGGATACCAATTCACACCGCAGCTTGTCTCCAGAGTAAAAGAGGCAATCAGAAAGGCATTGAGTGCCCGGCATATGCCGAAGTATGTCTTCCAGACGCCTGAGATTCCGGTACGTGCGCCTCTTTACGGTCTTAGACGGGACTTAACTATGACTAACGTGGTCCAGACGACGGTGAATCTGAAGAAGGTAGAATTACCGGTAAAGCAGATCGTATCTGGCAAGAAGATCAAACCGTCGGGTACTCTACTCAACCCGCAGAGCTTAGATTACTATTACCAGTTTGCAGAGGTTGAAAAGCTGGTCGATGTCAAGAGCAAGCTGTAGAGTGGCCTCTAGACGGGACACTGGTTTTCGGAGTCATCCACGGTTTTTTAATCGTAGACTAGCGTAGAAGAATATACATGCTTTCTGACTATGAACACTCCTGGCCAAGCACGCAGCTCTTAGGAACTGAGACAATCCGTACATAGTCCGAAAAGGACGGAAATCAGACACACAGGGACTACCTCGGGAGGCGCATAAAGTCCACAAGGTCACGAATTCGGATGAGAGTTTGATAGAAGCAAGGATGTCACCCTGCAGGAGAGAATCGAGCCCACGGAACGCAATAGTAGCACGAGCATCTTATTGACAAGAAAGGATGACAAGGAGCGAGACGCCAAGTGATTCTCAGCATCAATAACTCTTTTCGACAGCAGCAATCAGTCACTCAATGGGTAGTTTTGTAAGACGAGTCCTTCTCCCATGCATGCTTTTGCGAGTGCTGATTTCAGTGTAAGAAGAGATGCGGCATTAACACAGCGTGGCTTGCCAGCAGTGCAATGAGTTGTTTTCGATCGGAGGCTTTCATGCACCGAGCATAACGAGGAAGTATCCATACGATTTGTGGCCTTTATTATAGCCCCGAGGTGAAGAGAGTCGCAGCAGAAATGGCAGTAAACGGTCTCGTCCTTGAGGCGTGCAGTCTCGGCTGAGAGCACACTCTTCACTTTGTCATTTGCAGTCCTCCAGCCCTTAGTGATGTCATCTAGAAAACAGATTTGTACGTCAGCACTTTGAATTAATTGGATTGGTGCTTCGAAGGCCGATAAGGGATGTAGGAGTGATTTACCTTTAATGCACTCTGGAAGATTGAGCTCAGCAGAATAGGTAGACGACACACATCTTCGAGACATGGCAGCGCTCGTTGAGCTTGTAAGGAATGGAACCCGAGAGCCCAGCTGATATAGGCCCATTTCAAGCAGTTGTCCCATGTGTCGCAGACTACTTTCTTCTCATCGAGCAACCGCTTTTTCCAGAGTTCGACGACAAACGTACATGCTTCTCGACAGTCGAGGTAGTGAACCACAGCAGCAACTTTCAGCAGCATCGCTGCATCCACCTCTTTCGGGATGCGCTGCCCCTGCCCGTGTATGATGTTCATAACTATCAGGAATGCGACAGGGTCGCAGTCTAGCATATGGACTTCGTCATATCCTGGCTCGTCGGCGGTGCTAGTTGGAGAGATACGTTTCTTGAGATGGCCCTTGAAGTAGTTTGAGGCCAGAGTGAGATGTTTCGACGAGACTTTGAAGCGGGTCTGCGGTGTTTCAACTGCGACTGGTATAATTTTCTTTGGATTAGAAGGCTTTTCTCCGTCGTCCTTATTAATAGACGCATTGTTATTAACATTTGGAGACGCTGAAGAAGTCGATGGCACCGGCTTTGCTTCAGGGGCGCGGCGCTGTGCAGACAGGACTAGGACAACATCGCCAGAAGCGTCGATCAGGTAGCAGGTACCGCTCATCTATCTTGTTAGAATAAAGTCTGAAGAAATTCGATGTGTGAGGAGGTTCATACTTGACTCTCACCCTTTAGAGGTTGTTGCAGGTAGTAAGTTGGAGTTCCTTGATGAAGAGAAGAAAAGGTATAGACGTTCAGTCCAGAGAGAGAAGGTTGAGATGGTCAGTCAACGAATGATGGCAGTTCTGTTGTCAGAGAGAGAAGAGTAGAGTGTTGCTATAGCGATGCTTGTATTGTTAACCTCACTTCAACCAGTACAGCTCAGACACCGTCAGCGTATTCTTATGATTTCTCATTGGTAAGGAGAAGGTAGGTCGAGGACATCAGAGAATATGCTTCAGGGAGAATCAAACCTTCAGTATATGAACAGAATTATGAAAATTCACTGCACGTACTGGTTAAAACTGGAGTTACATTGCCTCTCAAGTGACGGGAACTTGATAATGCATTTGAAAGGATTAGAAGACATTCAATTCCTGTGTTTTACTTGATGAATGTTTAAGATTGACCTGACAGCTATTCACCAAGTCCAACCACACTGTACTTTCAAGCGGTCCTTCTGACGATGTCAACGCCATTGTTCCGGTATCAAGATGAATCCAGACAATTTCGTTCGATGGTAGATGAGCTCTTCGATTACTCTAGGTCCAAGAAGTCCACTGCATCGACCTTTGCAAGATACCTTAGAGCTCGGCATCTCGAATTCGAGGATTTTCTCAGCCACGCTTTCTGGTGCAAGACCTTCATCATCGAGGTTCTCGCGGGGCCATGGCAGTCTGTGGGCCTTCATTTGCTTCATAAGTGCACCTAGTCTGAATGGGTCGCACTCGAAACTGCAGGTGATCCGGCCATTCTCTAATCTATGCCGCCGCTCTTCCACATCTCTGAATAATAAAGAGCAGACTTTCCTTTTCAGATTGATCGTGTCTTCCTTGGTAAGCGTAACATCTCTAAGATGGCTCATATGGACTCACCTGTAACAGATCGCGGTATAGGAAGATCCAGCGTGTTGATGAAGTCCTTGCTCTGTCGTATCGCCAAGCAGGTAACAGATGCGTAAAGCTCGCAATCATTGAACACCCCGGAAACGAAAATCCACTTGCCGGTCTCATCACAGTAAGCGTTGAGACGTTTCGCCTTCCACGGTTCGATCCATCTCGCGGGATACAGCCCCACAACTCCGTGGCATTTGAAGTAGTCCACTTGGACAGCCAGCTCGACCAACTCGTCAAAGGTCACCAATGTAGGGACTTCCTGCGTGCGGCAGTGCATTAGATCAAGCAGGATTGAAAACGCCTCAGGGTCAGTATCGGGAACGTCCAGCTCGATGCAGCCGTTCTTCTGTAGTTCTTCGCCCTCGCGCCATTCTTTCTTCAGCCTCTTTTCGAAGTATTGCGAAGCCAAGCTCAGATGTTTAGAGGAAGCTCGGTATCTGACGACCCCTGCCTCTTCACCTGAATAAAGCCTGGAGGGTGCGTATGCGCGAGGCTGCTTTGGTGGGGATACCATGAGGATGACATCTCCGTTTGGATCATGGTCACTGACTCTGTTCACTTCTGGATTCATTTCAAATTCGTCATCCTAGTGAATAGGGTTGCGGGAATGGTATAGAATATTCTGAGAAAGGGGTTGAGGACATCATAAGGAGGTCCTGTGAGTTCTTGTTGATCAGTGAATACTGAGTGGCATTCTGTGAATCTGATTACTATGTCTTAGGTCAAAATTTCTTCACCATGCCCAAATTGACCGAGTAGTTAATAATAAGTACTTTTCAATCCAGTGCAGGTTTTAGTAGAACCTGAGAATTGCCTCTATGACATGACTGCATTCGAGTCTATTGCAGACTGACTCCATGAGATAGGGTTAAGGCACGTCCTAATGGCTTAGTTCACTTCTATGAAGAGATACGCTGGCTCTAGGCCTTACTTGGATTGGGTCACAGGAATGTTCTGAATAGGTTTCCTAAAACATCCCACCCATAACAGGCACAAAACAACATAATGAAAAATGACCTCATACTTTAGCTGTTATATTCTTTGGACAAGGTGAAGTCACTCCACAAAGTCCTCTATATTGATTGTCATGAAGACCATCTCCCCTATCCGCCTGCGGCAGGGATCCCAGCTAATTCGCCAAGCTGACTAGAGCCAGTCAACGTGTCCTGAACCAGATGGAGGTAGCCCAAGCCCTTCGCATGAGATAAAACATAATACAGGGTAAAAATGAACAAGAAGGGAAAACGGACAATGTACCCATTCTATGCGCCAGATATACTCCATGGTAAGTATGCAGACCTCCTGACCAGCGGTGCAAGGAGTAAAACACTGATTAGAAAAGACAATCCAGACGGCCCGTCTATTTGTTGTGTATCAAGAAGTTGCGGAATGAATCCCAGTGATCCGAGTCGGAGTAGCTGAAAAGCATCAGTATTTGAAGATATCGTGAGGCCAAGGTCAAGACGTACATGTATACCATGCTGCTTCTCAGACTCGACATAAGTGTCTCCGGATACCAACGGAAGATGTACATAACAAGTGCCCAGCTGAGACTTGCAAACACTGGCCACGCATTGGCCTCGATTCTTGCGCGCGACTCGGTAGTGATCAACGAGGAGAGAGGGTGCATATTCGGCTGGACAGAAAGCTTGGCAAGAGCAAGTACTACCCGAGCGAAGACGTATATGACGATCTGCACAGGCACATTAGTTTCAATTCTCTCCTTCTCAAACTTCGAATTGATCTCACCTGCTGGGTAATGCTTGTTTTATGTCGACCAAACACTGCATATCCTCCCAGCAGACCGGCAAAGAAGCTGTCATAGCGGCCTTCTTTCCCGACACCAGTAGGATTAACGTTGCGAAGAACTATCATGGAGCCTTTATATATAAGAGCAAATGTCGCCAGGTTCCGAGCATGCTGGCGTGTGGCGTTCAGGACGAGCCCGACCTTTTCTCGGAATCTGAATCTCGAAATCAGTATTTCGGCAATACTCGGCATGTCGATAGGATCGCCTTACGCTCCAGAGCGGAAGAGAAAGATCATTCTGTAAGACAAAGATATCTCGCATTAGCTGGATTCTCAATGTCAAGCTTGCGTGGTTCCGCCAGTGGATTCGGACGTACACCAAAGCGTGCGGAAACCGCACTTTCGACCCGTATACAATGCCATTGCGGGCACCCTTGACGAGCGACAGAAGCGGCGCGAGCTGGGGGTCGAGGACAAAGGAATCCAGGCGAGACTAGACAGCGATCAGAAAAGCGTGCGATATAGTTGGATTGACAAAGTCGAGTGGAGCGTCAAGCATACCAAAAGTGCATCCATGGTGTCTGGGGGACCTCGGTAGGTTGATCGGACCAGCGACGGATTGGGATTGATGTCTACCGATGGAGAACACCAGGTGTAAGGAGGGTCAAGATGTAGGAAGGAATAGATTTAGGGAACTACCAGGAACGGAATGATAAGGTACAAATATGGATGGGCATGATCCCATCACCAGGACAGATGGCGGGGGAACGGTATTTAATGGACTACGCTTCACCCGCGCAACTGCAATGATCCTCGGCATGTGAGGCCAGCAAGAGCACAGACGTCATGTCACGTGATGGTACATTTTGTCCAGCAGCTGTCAGTATCGAGAAGAGAGAGGTACTTTTTTGAGAAAAGTATTGAAGGGACCGTCGAGTTGTTTATCTTTAGATCGGAGCAAATATGAACCCAAAAGGCTTAAACGGGAGGCAGGATGATGAGAACGAACTGAACATTAACTCTTGCTTCTAGGGTAATAACGGAATGTAGAAGCATCTCAACAGTGCAAGTAGTACGCTCAGTTAATAGACAAATAAAAATGATTTTGATATATGCTGGATACTTTTAAGCTATAGTGACCATGAATGAAACTGATCGATCTGCTCGACGACTCGACAGAGAAACCGAACCACCTGAACGCCTTATGCGGTATAGATAGACAAAGTATCATGCGTCAAAAACATAGCCAGACAAACGGAGACAGCAGTCTATTCCGTTCTCGCCTTCTTCCGTCCCTCATCATCCGAGACTTCGTCCACGTCCATCATCTCCGCATCCTCCTCATCAGACTCCACACCAGCACGTCGCTTCAGACCCTTCATCTTCCTCGTCTGCAGGCCAGACAGATCCTGCTTGCCCAAGTGCACACGACCGATCTTGTCACCCATGACGTCCAGGCCAATGTTCTTCTTCGTCTTCATGTTCTCATTAGGTCTCTTGCCCTGCTTCATGGCCTCCTTCAGAGCATTCTCGGGTGCCTCGTGCAGACGACCGATCTTGAAGTCGAACTTGGGCCCGATATCATCCAGCTCAACGCGAGGGAGCTTGTGTCCACTGCGCTTTGTCCGAAGCTTGTACCATCTGAGATGAATAATAGGAGACATGCCGTCGGTAGGTTCCTCAGCGGCAATCATCAACACATACTGCAGTCCCTCGACATCGATCTTATCCGACTCCTCGCCCTTGAACATATCAACGAACATGCTCTTCAGCATAACATGAGCGGTAGAGGTAGAATCTTCCCAGGCAGTACCCGCGAACAGCAGCATAGGCCGTAAGCCAATTCCGATCTGCATCTTGAGGTTGTTGATCGCAGGGATCGAGTCTCCGTCTGGGTTAGGGAGCAGCATCAATTCGCACATGTCCAGGAGCTTGGAGTCGAATATCCGCGCCACAGTCAGGCTGTTGGGTCTCTTCTTGCTGCTGCTTCCGAAAACAACAATACCACACTCATTCTTGTTGGCGAGAAACTCGAGGCTCTCGGCGCTCTCGAACGGGTGAATGTTCTCGTTCTTCTTGTGAAAGAGGACGGAGTTGGGGATCGTCAGCGAGTGGAATGTCTTCAGGACTGTGTTAAGAGCCGTCGGGCATTTTGAGCCATGCATGAAAAGGGTCCTCTTGGGGGGTTCGATGAGCTGGGGCTCACGGGCCTTGAGAATGCGCGCTGTGCGCGGATTCTTGGGTTTGCTGTTGAGATGGACCTAGTCAGAGGGTGCTCTCCTAATAGACAAAGAATTCTGCTTCCAGAACAAGACTTACACTTCTCTGAGCATTTTGATTTCTTCTGCTTTCAACGACGAAAACTTGGATGTTTCGCCGATCACCGACTTGCCTGGTCGAGGAAGAAAAAAGCGGAGCGAAAAGTTTTGGCGGAAATGTCTTGGCACCGCTTATCGATAAGCTTAACTGGAGACTTCTCACATATTATTCTGATGGTAGAAAACATGTATACTAGTATATTAATTCCAGGTTCGCAGAACAAAACTCGCCACAGACCAAGTAACAAGAACAAGCATAAGATATGCATTCATCAGTAAAATGGCGATTTATATTGTTGTATCTCCGGGTCATCTATCTACTCCAAGCGAAGCTTCTCAAACTCGCGAATCTGCTCTTCCAGCCGGGCAGCCTCACTCTCGGCATCCCGAAGCTTTTTCTCCTCCTGTTCACGAACCTCTGGCTTAACCTTCTCCTTCCATCCAGCGCCATTGACGAGAGTCTGTTGGCGGCGAACGGTCTCACGTGCCTTCTCCAGACTGGCCTTGGCCTTCTCTTCCTGCTCCAGAGCTACCTCTTTCGAGACGCGGAGGTACACAGCGGCCTGGGCACCGACGGCGGCAACGACGCAGCCTGAAGGGGGATCGGTGTTCTCAAGGTCAGCTACGCTGAGCTCTCCCAAAAACTTGCCACCCAGGGACTTAATGCTAGTCACTTCGTCCGAGATGGTCTTGTGGCTGACTGGGTCATATGTCTGGATAATAATATCGCCCTTAGTCTTGACCTCATATTGGGCAAGGATCGACCGGATGGCCTTGGAGGTATTCAAGATGAGCTCATAAGCCGTCTCGGCTTCGGGGTCGTTGAACTCTGGGTTGTACTGGGGATAACGAGCCTTCATGATCGAGATGGTCTCGTCACCAGATCTGCGAGGTAGGCGCTGCCACAAGTGCTCCGTAACGAAAGGCATGATGGGGTGAATAAGGGTCAGAGCGCCCTCGAGGGCAGTGTACAAAGTCTGCTTGGCCGATTCCTGCACTTCGGCGGGCACCTCAGGAGCCAAGAGATACTTCGAGTTTTCGATAAAGATGTCGCAAAGCTGGCCGTACCAGTACTGATAAGTGGTAGAAGCGGCGACAGAGAACTCACGCTGCGCCAGCGCCTCATTGACCTCCTTCGCAGCTGTGTTGAATTTATGCAGAATCCAGCGCTCAGAGAGAGACTCCCGGCCAGTCTTTGAAGGGGCTGGCAGAGGCTTGAAGTCATCACCCAATCTGCCCAAGACGAACTTAGTAGCCTGGTAAATCTTGTTGCAGAAACGGCGGTAGCCGTGGATAACCTGAATGTCGAATGCGATATCACCGCCTAAACCAAAGTCAGTCCGTGTCAGCTTCCGAGGGGGTGCTTTGATTCGTCCATCCTAGGCCAGGTAATATCAAAACTTACCACCAGTAGTATAAGACACAAGGGCGAAACGCAGAGCATCGGCACCACATTCGGGAATACCCTTGGGGAAGGCCTTCTTCTGGTACTTGGTAGCAGTTGCAACCTCCTTGTCGGCAAGGTTACCAGTAAGTAGCTTGGCATGGAGAGTCTGGAGCTCGATACCCTCCATGACATCCAAGGGGTCAATGACATTACCAAGGGACTTGGACATCTTGCGACCCTCGGAATCTCTGATCAAGGAATGGCAGTACACTTCCTTAAAGGGCACCTTGCCGGTCAGCTTGATACCAAGCATAATCATACGTGCGACCTGTGAATTGATTAGCGCAGCACAGAGAACCTAGCGGAGAGGAAAACATACCCAGAAGAACAGAATATCCCAACCGGTCTCGAGCACAGACGTAGGGTACAAGTTCTCCAGATCATGAGTCTGGCGGGGCCATCCCAGTGTTGAGAAGGGCCACAGACCGGATGAGAACCAAGTATCGAGCACATCGGGGTCCCTGATCAAGGAGAATGTCTTGCCAGGGAACTTGGCCTCCGCCTTCTTGCGGGCTTCTTCTTCGGTACGTCCGGCAACCCACAGGTTACCGTCACTGTCATCGCCGTCTTCACCCTCAACCTTGACGAAGTACGCAGGAGCCTGGTGACCCCACCAGAGTTGTCTGGAAAGACACCAGTCATTGATACCTCTCATCCAGCGGAAGTAGTTCTTCTCGGCGGATTCCGGTTTGATGACAATTTCACCATTCTCAACAGCCTTGATGGCAGGCTCGGCAAGATCTTGCATCTTCATCCACCACTGGGGCTTCAGAATAGGCTCAATAACATCATTCGATTTGGCACAGCGAGGAATCTTCATGGGGTTATTCTCCCATTTCACGTACAATCCCTTCTCCTTCAGCATCTCGATGACCTTGTAACGGGCATCGAAACGTTTCATGCCAGCGAATGGGCCACCATTCTTGTTGAATGTACCATCATCGTTCAGCACGGATATGAACTCGAGGTTGTGGGCCTTTCCACGGTTGAAATCGTTGAAATCGTGGGCTGGCGTGATCTTCACCGCACCGGTACCGAATTCGGGATCGACATCCGTATCGCCAACGATGGGCATCAGGCGGTCGACGAAGGGATGACGGGCGAATTTTCCAATCAGGTGCTGGTAGCGCTTGTCGTCAGGGTGCACGGCAATACCTGTGTCACCGATCATGGTTTCCGGACGAGTGGTAGCGATCTCAATCCTCTCCTTGGTGCCATCAATCTCATAGCAGAAGTGGGTCAACACACCGAACTCGACCTTCTTGTCGTATCCAGGCACGTCAAGCAGTGTACGTCCTTCGACCTCCTTGTTCTCGACCTCGAGGTTGGACAAAGAGGTATTCAGGGCCACACACCAATTGACAAGGCGGTTGGCACGGTAGATGATGCCTTCCTCGTGGAGCCGTACAAAAGTTTCTGTGACGGCGGCCGACAGGTTGGGATCCATGGTGAAAGCCTCACGCGACCAATCGAAAGAACCACCGACTCTCCGCAACGCATTCTTGATGTTCGCATGGTACTCGTCCTTCCAAGCCCAGACTCTCTTCGTGAACTCCTCCCGGCCAAGATCGTGGCGGGTCTTCTTTTCCTTCTTCCAGAGCATCTTCTCGACCACACTCTGAGTGGAGATACCGGCGTGATCCATACCAGGAAGCCAGAGAGTGGTCTTTCCCTTCATTCGCTCCCAACGAATCATAGTATCCTGAAGGGCATTGGTAAGAGCGTGGCCCATGTGCAGGGAGCCTGTCACGTTCGGGGGAGGAATTGGGATGACGAAGTAACCCTCGGGCTTGACCTTGCCATCGGGGCCGAACTCGGGCTTGAAAAGATCACGCTCCTCCCACCACTCGTACCGGCCGGATTCAATGACCTTCGGATCGTACGCATCGGTCGTCTTCTCCTTCTCGATCTTGTTGGCCTTCTTATCAGCCTTGACAGGTGCAGGTTTGGCCGCAGCAGCCTTTGCTTTTTTGTCGGCGAACTTCTTCGCCTTCTCGGCCTTTCGTCGTTCTCGCTCTACTAACCAATGGTAACATCCAACAATCAGCAACCGATGCACATGCTATATCATCCACAACCGACACTCGAGAGACATACACTCTTTCTCACTCTTGACCTTAGGAGCACCCTGCGCATCCTTCACGGCAGAGTCGACAACCTGGTTTCTGGTTTGATCATCGGCCTGCGGGGCTGGGTCGGTCATAGGAGCTTTCGGCTCACCCACTGAAAGAATTCAAGACTGTTAGCCATTTGCATCGCTCCCGCGTGGTCTGATTGACGATGAGTCACGGTGCAAAGCACGGAGGACTACTCACCCGGGTTCGGAGAGGGAGTTGGCTGAGACATCCTTGAGTACGATTTAGATATCGGAGGAGTTAACAATCTCCAAGGCGCCGACCGCGCCACAAATTGCCGGATGAGTATCTTGAATACTGGGACAGATCAAGGAGGGGGAGGGGCAGGTGGTTGTGTGAAATGCGGGCATTAAATTTCGCTGGCGCAGAGCAGAGAACGGAACGAATCAGAGGATGTTACTGCGGGGCCCAAAAAAGACTCTGGCTGTGGAGAACGATCAATCGAGATTGGGATGGATTTGATGTCCAAAAAGAATGAATGACCAATCTAATATATTACACGGGGAGCATATGAGTCAACCAGCATTCTTTGATCTTCTGCTTCAAGATACATAACTCAATCGGCTAATCGATAGGGGAAGGCGAGAGGATTTGAGTCACATCACGTGATATAAATCAGCCCAAGCACTAGCAGCATTTCTCCATAGTTTCTACCTCTCTACTCTTCGTAACGCAGCGTCTCTGGTCGAGTACGACATTAGTTTCATCTATCGAAAGTCGCACGTTAAGGCAAACGATACTCAAATCTGGAAATGCATGCTTTCACCACTTCAAAAAGAAACAAGCTTAGAGAATCAATTATGCCCCCAATAAGACAACTCACTCCTTTCCATGACCAGAACGGAAGACAGTAAAGACAAGGATTCGCAGTAGACACAGGAACGTGGTGACATAAGACTGAAAGTTGTAATGGAGAAGGCGAATCCCACAACACCATCGAGGCAGTTTACGAAATCGAACAGACGAGGAAGATGTAGAAAAGATGTGAGGAGCATGGAAAGTGAAATATAAAATATCAATCAGTCCGAACGGGTCATCAGATACATTGGAGTGCGCTGTACGCCAAGACTGAGGTGAAATGGGGCTCTATACCCAGGCAACATATTAAGTGTACGTCATCTGTCATCATCGTTTGGTTCCGCATTCCATCGCACATCGCACAAACGGTGCGTAAAGTGATACCAGTAAGAGGCAGCAAGTGGCCGCCGTGGGATCCCGTTTGCACGTGTATTGATTGATTATCACCACTCTTTTGGACCCAGACATTGACTCAAAACTTCGAACCAAGCCGGCGGTGTTCAAGGACGCAATTGAATCACAGCAGGTGCTGAGTCAGGGTTCGGTAGATCCCTGAATGTATGAAGTAATAATCAGGTCAACAACGCCTGGCTTCACGATTGGGACGTTGCATTGTTCCGAGCGGCCTGCGACTCCGCTGCGCGAACCGGGGCGAAGTAGGGATGAGCCATGGCCTCCTGGGCTGTAAGCCGTTCCTAAAAAGCGAAGAAAGGTCAGCACTAATAAAAATTGAACGAGATGTGGGAGACTTGCAGCATGATCATATCGAAGGAGTTTGTCGAGGAAATCAATCGCTTCATCGCTGATAAAGCGTTGGTTGTCGGCATTAATGAAAGAGTGCCAGGGCTTTCTCGGGTAGCGAGAGAGTATTTCATCATACTGAGGGTCAAGCTCGATGTCGTACTTATCCAAGTACTCAAAAAGCTCCTCGGTCCCCAATACCTTGGCAATCTTCACCAGTTGATCTGAGTTGCTCTGGCCGTGGAAAAAGGGTTCCTTGCGGAAGATCATGGAGGCAAACATCGCGCCCAAGGACCACATGTCCAGGGAGTAATCGTATTCCTGGAAATCAACAAGCAGCTCAGGGCCCTTGAAGTAGCGTGAGGCGACTCGGACGTTATATTCAGTGCCTTTGTGGTAGAATTCGGCAAGACCCCAATCGATGAGCCGTAGCTAACATGCCTTGTCAGCGAATGGATTATGTTGCGGGCGTACACGATAGAACTCACTTTGCGCTTCTCATGGTCAATCATGACGTTGTGGGGCTTGACATCCCGATGCATGATGCCTTTGCTGTGGCAGAAATCCAGAGCCTTTAGAAGCTCATATACATAAAAACGCACATCGTAGTCGGTGAAACGAGGGTACAGGGTCCGAAAGTCGGTGTTGTTGACGTATTCGAAAACCAGACTTGGCGTCTTGCTCTGACTGTCACGAACCACATCCAACAGAGCTACCACGTTCGGGCCACCCGCCAGATTCTGGAGAATTTTGATCTCGCGCTTGATCTTCTTCTTCTTGACCGGTTTGAGGACCTTGATGACACACTTCTGGTAGTTGACGACATTGATGCCCTCGAACACTTCGGAGTACTTTCCCCGGCCTGTATTGACAATTGTCAGCCTTCCAAAGCCACTATATCGGTATTGCACAGGTCATCCACGATAATGGTAAGGCTCCCGTTGGGTGAATAGACCAGATCTGCTCACTCACCAATCTTGCGGACCACTTCATAGTTCTCCAAAACACCCCAGGAGATGTTCACACTATCATAGTCCCAGTAGGACCGAGGCATATGCTCGTTAACATCGGCATAGACGCGCGCCATGGTGATGGCGGCTGATTCGCAGCTTCCGAGTGCGCCCACAATGGACGGGAGATAAAATGCGGCGGCGGGGTACAGGAGCAGCCCGACACAGAAATTGTCGCAACAAGGAATTGAGATGGAGGACAGACAACAGCTGCTGCAAGACTAGGAGCATACAGGCCTGTCTAAACAGTGCAGCCGTGCTATCGTCCAAATTACAGATGGCTGGGATTGTATAATGTGCTGATGATGAGAATGGAGAGGACTGTTCGCTCCGCCTTCCCAGGCACGTGACGATACTTTGAGGGAGACGTCCCGATCAAGGCTAGCGCAGTTCTCGTATCGGAGAAATTGTTGATGCGGGATAGTTTCTTGATTTCCTTTTGCAGACAAGTTTCGACAGCTTCTATAGCTTATGAACAAGCAAGCTTTGTGAGAAGAAGATTGGTTGGAGGATAGCGGGCTCGGACTTGGCTTTTTAATCTTTGAAAATGTTTTACGATCTGAACGTTCCTTACTCCTCAGATGATCCAGAGATCTCTGATACATTGAGCTTTCTTGCAGAACGTATGTCACTCTTCCTGGGCACAAGACCTGGGCGGCGTTCCGCGACGCTGAATATGACCACCTGAGAAACTGACCTGACTACCAGTTGGTTACACAACCGTCGCTCTCTCGCAGACCATCAGTGGAAAGCTTCCATCAAACCTTGCCCCGCCACCTGCTCCCACGAATGCTCCCAAAAATTTGAAATTGCTTTCTCGTGTGAACTTGACATTGTCCGACCCCGCACAGAATCAGCGCCTTGCCAGCTTAGCTCAGGTGTATGACCTGGTTGCGCTTCGTCCTACCAATGAAAAAGCCCTCCTGAATGCATGCACGAATCTCGAATGCGACCTGATTTCTCTGGATCTCTCAGTGAGACTCCCGTTTTACTTCAAATTTAAAATGCTCTCTGCCGCTATCGAACGAGGGGTTCGACTGGAAATTTGCTACGGGCCTGGGGTTACAAGGAGCGGGCTTGAAGCCCGTCGGAATCTCATCGGCAATGCTATGGGCTTGATCCGCGCAACACGCGGAAGGGGGATCGTTGTGTCAAGTGAGGCAAGGAGGGCCTTGGGCGTGAGGGCTCCATGGGATGTCATCAACTTGACATGTGTATGGGGTCTGTCACAGGAACTCGGCAAAGAGGCAATCAGTGAGGAAGCAAGAAAAGTCACTGCGCTAGCTAAATTGAAGCGCACAAGCTGGCGTGGAGTCATCGACATCGTTGACGGTGGACAGAAGTCAAAGTCACAAGTTGTGGAATCTGGATTGGGGCAGAAAAACATGTCTAGGAATAAGAATGTCTCACAGGCTCAAGGAACTGGTGACAACCTGAAGAGGAAGGCATCTCTCGGCTCAGAGGCGACCGTTGAGGAAATTGAGAAACCTCTGTCCAAGCGTGAGATGAAGCGAAGGGCTAAAAAAGCGCGGTTAGAGGCAGTAGATGGTGCTGGCAACGCAACAGGTTCGGGTGCGACTGTGGCCTCTGGCTGAATATGGCTCGGCGAGGAAATCACTTGAATCTTGCCACAACACCACCTTTTCACATGGCCCGGCCCTTCCGACGGATTCGGAAGACGTCACTGAGCATCCATGTAATGCCTCATGATGTTCCCGTCACAGTAGTTGGATTGGAGCCTAGGGTTCGCGCACTGCGTCTGCGAACCTGTCGGAGTTGTGCTGCTTGCTTTCGCTGTGTGTCAAAGCCGATATTCACCTGTGCTGAGTATAGCCTGTCTCACTCTGCAGTCTATCCCGAAGGTGCCCGCTTTGGTACTCCTACGGGTGAGGAAACCACTCTGCTGTGGCATGTCGGGGACTCAAACATGTCTGCATCATCATCACAACGAGCGAGCCGAATCTACCGACCTGGAGCTGCCAGATGCAGCAGCCTTGCTGGTTACCGGCCCATAGCAGCCACTTCGACCTTACGCTCACTCCACATGGCGCATAGCTGGATGCGGTCGGGTACTGAATACCCATGACCTGGGTTCAAGCTCATTTTGATTGGAAGCACTGGGAAGCTCATGGCCTCGGTAATGTACGCGGTACTGGTCCGGTAGGCACATACAGTAAGCAGGAACATTGTCTAGAGGCCTGCGATGCTTCAGTTATACCTCGTGCACATTGCCTACCATGATTTCATAGCATTCGAGTAGTAGAAAAATCAAAGTTAGCTTGAATACAACTTTCCGTACTCGCTTTAAGGGATGGAAGCTGTAGTCCTATGCAGCCTCGTACCGCGATCCACTGGACGTAGACGGTATCAATATCATTTTCGAGCAATCGTGCTGAACATGGTATAGTACTCTCCGCGTTCACAGACCCGAACGAGCTACACATTAGCACGACCAGCCGCATCCAAGATATATATATTTCCCCCCAATGCAATCACCACGACGGGATCATCCACTCACCACCAGCATCTACCAATAGATACAGGTGGGAAAGCCCGAAAAAAGCCTAAGGGAACGAAAACGAAAATCTACACGCTCCTCAATAAGATGGACACGTACCAAAAATATAAGAGCGAAAAAGAATAGCTCCTACCCGGATTCGAACCGGGGTTGCCGGAAGACTCAGCGAATGCTCAAAATCCGGAGTCATAACCACTAGACCATAGAAGCGATTTCTGTTAGTAAGGCTAAGTAGAAAATCTTATCTGCTATGGAGTATTGTAAATCTCGCAATGTCCAAGAATATATACGCGAACCCCTGAAAATGGACAGTCGTGAAATCTCTCGCGACCCTCTGGCTACGGTCAAGGACCAGGGCAGTTGACCACCCTATAAGGCCTCGACCGGGTACAACCAATGGAAGACCTAGCCATGAACTTTACCTATCTTGGAGTTCTCCTCCGCAGAGGTAGTGTAATCTGTCTACGTGCGATTTGAGGCAAGGATATGGCAAATAGTCTAGGGAGCAGAGATTGTTGAAATTTATTTCGCGAAAATACTCAACTAGGGCAGTGGTGATGATGCTCAAGGAAGATTAGGTATCATTCCGATATTGAAGTGTAAGAAGTACTTGTACATGAAGAAGGTATCAAGGGTAAAGAAGCAGTATTATCGGCAATGGAACGATCAGCCAACGTCATGAGTCATCTCGAAAATGTAAGGGTATGGAAGCTACCAGAAAGCCATGCAAATAATTCCCGGAGGCATCAAGACAATGTACCAGATTCCTCAGACACAACTCGTCAGTCCCTGGATTGATCATGAGGCAGGAATCACAGAGCAGGCTCGAACGCATGAAAAGAAACAAAAGGCAACAGAAAGGAGATCGTCGATATGAATCTTCTTATGTGCTCTCCATTTCCACGAGGACTTTCAAATCGCCATCCATCCAGTCCACGTTGCCAGCTGAAAGAAGGGCCATCGTCCAGTCGCCGTCATTCTGTACTGCGGCCAACCCATCAGGAAGCCAGGCCTTGAACTTCCAACCGAGCGAAGAGCCCCATGAACCCCCTGTCGCATCCATGGCAGAATCGGAGGGTAGGCCCGGTAATTGACCAGCGAATCGACGAGAGACGAGCTGCTTTAGCGTCTCCAGATCGGGACTCTGCACAGCGGGGACATCAAGGCGAGGAAGGATACGCTTTCCTTGCTGCATGATATTTATACGAAGATAGACGGAGTTCGGAGGTGCAGACACGGAAGTATGTGCGTTGGTATTTGCGTTTCCTGGCATGGGGGGTAACTGCGGTGGCGGAAAGAGCTGAGGTTGCGGCATCGGATCATGGTCATGAGTAGAAGTGTGAACACCTTGCTTAGCGGCCAAGTTGTCGCGAATAATGCGCGAAACATCACGGGTGATGCTGCTTGCACTGTAAGAGTGTCAGTCGCCGTACTTGTCGCGAGAGATGATAACGAGGAGCAGGTATACATACAATTCATTTCTGGCAGTTGTGTTGTGGTGACCGCCGATTCGCCAGCGCAGATCCGAAATGACATCTGCATTTACGATGCGATGTACGTTCTCATTCTCACAAGGCGCAGGGCAATCGAAGCCGCCCTCATGAATGACCTGGTAGTGACTATCGACTGCGGCGACCAAACCTCGCCAGTCCGGCTGCGGGAGACCCGAAAGATACCATAAATTATCGAGTTCAAAGTCGTGATTATACATATCATATGACTTGTGAATTGCATTCGAGTCGTGGGGATAACCGTCGAGTAGAAGCTCTGTCAGGCCAAGCTCCATGTTTTGTGATGTCGAGTCCATCTGCGGTTGAGGTGGTGGCATGGGGACTTGTGATGAAGAATACTCTTCCGGCATGTGATGCTGAGGGTGCATCTGAAGCTGCCCGTCAGAGGGAAACCTCGGCGGACTCGCGCTGGTAGTGAAGGTCTGAAAGCTTTCATTCGTCTTCCGTCTCCTTCGCTCATCAGTGCCGCCTCCTTTCCGAGTTTCAACAGCATATTGGCGCTGGCGTTCATTGGTAACCATCCTCCGGAGTAGAGGAATCACCAGAGAAATGATTTTCTGCTGGTCGCGCGGCCAGATGTAAGACCTCGGACCCATGCCTTCATTGACGACATTCTCGCCGAAGAACCGTTCTCCGTTCCCTTCATCATCCAAGAAGTGGCGCACACAGTGCCACAGTCTTAACTTAACCATTTCGGTGTCACCTTTGCCCCGCTGGCCAACGCATTCCCGTCTCTCAGGATGTTTAGGATCAAGCATATATCCTTTCGCGGCCGCTTGTAAATGCAAGAAGTTTTCCGGCGACAATTCCAGAGAGGCGAAGAGTTTCGACATTGGCGGACGAGTGTGTTTCTTGTTACTGGAAGGTTGGCGGAAGAGTGCAGCGGCGGAATGAACGCCAGCAGCGCGAGCGTCAGATAGGGACTGGGGCGGGACGGCTCTAATATCTAAGCTGTCTCCGTCATAATGGTGAGAAGGCGGGTGAAGGTGGTGTTGTTGCTGTTGCTGCGATTGCTGCGGACCGCCAGAAAGGCCTACTCCACCGGTGGCTGTCAACGCCGGATCAAGTGCATCCTCTCCTCTTTTCCGTTTCTTGGAGACCGATCTGGACAATCCTGAAGACTGGCCCTGTTCGTTGACCGAAGCCGACCCTGATCCGCGTAGCTGCCTACCTGCACCCATTCCTGCCCCAAAACTGCCATCTCCGAAGCCGTCGTCTTCAATGTGTATTTCCGGACCATAGCTATCCAAGTGATGTTGATGACCAGCAGCTCCGGCCGCTGCAGCCACCGCCGCCGCTGCGGCCCATTCCGAAACATCTTGACCAGCCGCTGCTGTCGCGGCTTCCACCAAACCAGCTAACTGATTGTCATTTGGGGCATATCCACTGGTCGCTAGATGCGCATGCGAATCGACGTGAGAGGTATGAGGTGTCTGATTAGAGAACTCCGGGGCCGAAGTCGCGGGAGGATGCTGGTGGTTGGGCGTCGACGTGGACGTCATGGCGATTTTGAATATGGGGTTCGTCACAAGGTCAGGAACCGTCCTGCTCGGTGAGGAAGGAGCTGATGAGGAAGTGTCTTGAAATGCGGCAACTGGTCGGCGCGGGGGTTATGGCCACTGTCAAGCTCGGAAGACCTGTAACGGAATGTTGCGATTGATAATCTGTTTCGCAGCCTGGACGGCTAGTCTTCCTGGACCGAGAGGAAGGGTATCTTCTCCGAGTACGCCCGGAAGACAAAGCGGTCGCGATTTAAAGTAAGTTCCTAAAAAAAAAATCTCCGTCAAAAAGATCGGCCCATGGCTAGGCAGCCTATGACCGTTTCGTGCGAATTGTAAAGCCCTCGTCCCCTTGCGATGCGTGAGTTCGCTTCAGCCAGTGTCACCGCCTGCTGACGAGGCGACAAAGAAGCTTGGAAAGTGATCAGGATCAAAAGTGGACAGAGATCAGGGAGCTAAAGCTTCCCACTAATTGTATTTCGCGCGGATCGCGATACGTTGATTGTATCAATCAGATAGTAGCTAGATGACGCTGTTTGCGCGGTTTGAAGAGAGGACAGACAATGCAAACTCTGCACAACGACGAGGAGCTGCTTCGGAGGACGAGATAATCCGTTATGGTCACATGACCATGCGATTCAAGCATGAGGTGAGGTGGTGAGGTGAAGAATCGCGAGAAGATCAAAAGGCAAGCAGCAATTTGCAAAATCTGACTATCTTAGACATAGTACACTTTTTATTTGATAAATCCAGCCGACCCAGATCGACAATGATATGCGAGTCTAAATGTAAATAGTGCAAATGTTCGAGCATACCCCCTGCCACAACCTCTCTTCTGCCTGCAGAAGTGCGAGGAGGTTCTGGAGTCTATTACAAAATAAGAGATGAGATCTGATTCTTAATATCCGTCACCCTCGGTCCATTTTCTACCGGCTTCCAAGGCCCGAGCATTGGGGTTCATACCACGCTCGGCGGCATTGTAGAGAACCTCGTTGATTTTCTGTTCTTTCTCATAGATCTGCTCTCGAAGAGATGAATCTTTTCCAGGCTCCGGGATGTTGAGGTGACTCGTTTCTCCCAGGGTACCACGCATTCGAGCGATTTCGACAGTCTGGGCTCGGGAGTTCCATCGCTTGAGTTCATCTTCCAATTCCTCTTTCTCATGGCCCAGTCTTCGGTACGCCTCGTACTCTTCTTTACCTCCGAAGCAGAGCCCGTACCCATCACAGAAGCAAACATGGACCTCGGGGCATACGATGTTGTCACCAGTAAATATCACATGCCAGAGGTACTCCCAAATACGGCCTGATATGTAGTCGCTCAGTTCTGTCCGGAGGATCCAATCTCGGTAGAAGACGAAACGCGCTCTGGGAATTGCTAGGATTCGCTCCCGAGAGACGGCAAACTGAGCACAGCAGGGCTGCGCCAGGACCTGTGGAATAGGGTCGTCCGGGAAAATCTCACCCCAGGACCGCGCCAGCATCGTCTCCTCTTGCTTCTCTTCGTTCTCCTCTGGGTTACTGGGATGCATCCAGTCAGGGCAGCCAGGCTCCCATATACACCGCAGATTCATGTATCCCTCCCGGACCACTCGCGCAACGTTCAGGCGACGCAGCATCTCGGCCGCATCGCCACCAAATATCTCCTCGTTGTGCCAGGCGAACTGGTGTGAATGCATGAACGCCACAATATCCGGCAGTTTGTCGTAATGCTCAATAATAAAGCTCAGATAAACCATCACTTCGTGTCCCTTGTTCTTCGGCGGATGTAGGGGTGCTGACGGGTCATCGACAACATAGATTGCCGACTGCCAATCGGGAAGCTCGGCCTCGATCCAATTCGTATCTTCGTTCTGCGTCTTCGGGACAACGAGCATCTTCGTATACTCGGCTCCGGCAGGCTTAGGGATACCAGGCACATATTGCGGCCGGGGAGCGTATGGTGTCCGGGACGGGCGGTTCTCCACCAAACTTATGTTCAAAAGTCCGGATGGTGTCGGGCTGGGTGAAGTGACCAATTTTCCCAACCCCACGGCCTCTGGCGTCGGCCGCCATAGTCTAGAGAGACTATTGAGTGTGTAGAGGAAGATGACGAAAAAGGCAAGACCAAGGAGGTCAACCGCTCGCCGCCAGGAAGTCATCGAAGAGGATATGGAATATACTATACAGGTTGAAGGGAAAAGAATAAATAGGCTGTCACA